AGAAATATGAATCATTCGTATAAAGAATAGATAATAGCAAGGTAAGATTGATGTATTTCATTGATTAGTCGTATTTGAACGAGAAAAGTGCAAAGTGTCATAGACATGCATCGATAACCAGTGCAATCGTCATTTTAATAACAACACAATAAAGGAAAAAAAAAAGGTGAATTAGATCACTGAGGGCATAATTATTAGATGGGAAACTTGCTAGCTATGAATTATTAGTAATACATCTAGACTATTCTTCAACCATAGTGCTTGAATAGGTATAAATATCATTGTTGCATTGCTGTAGATTTATTTTCAGGTAGCACTACCTAATCAAATAAACAGACAACGTTAAATAACAAATATCGTATATATAACTCAATCGACGATCAATAATCATGTACAAACAAATCTTTATGTTGTTCTTTATCGTTTTCTTAACATTTATGTTCACCAATGGTGTACCATTGCCAGATATTGATGATGAAAACAATATCAAATCAAATACATTAGTTCTTCGTAATGATTCTGATTCGAATCAATTCTTTGAAAGAGTCGATGCAACTCGTCAAGACAATGAAGATTTGCCTAAACGCTTGAATAAACGGGCAGACTTCACCTCAGCTCAACGTCAATTTCAGAATGAAACGTTAGCAGCACATAATTCCTATCGTGCTCGTCACTGTGCTCAACCTCTTCAACTTGATGATACACTTTGTCGTTCGGCTCAAGACTATGCTCAAAAACTTGCTAGTACGAATCAATTTTCTCATAGTGGAACTAAAGGTCTTGGTGAAAATCTATACAAGGCATGGAGTTCAACTACTATCAAAATTAATGGTAAGTCATCTTCAAATCATCAGATATATTCATTATATATATATATATGCGTTTATTTTAATATTGCAGGAACTAAAGCAGTGACTTCTTGGTACAAAGAAATTAAAGACTACAATTTCAATAATGGAGGCTTCTCAATGAAGACGGGTCATTTTACACAAGCCGTGTGGAGAAGTACGAAAAAGCTCGGTGTGGGTGTTGCTTATGTTGACGGAGGTCGTACTGTTGTTGTTGTTTGTCAATATTCACCTCCGGGCAATTATCAAGGTCAATATCAAACAAATGTTCGTCCACAAGGCAGTTGCTGAATTGATTATTCTTATTGATGATCTATCAATTGGAAGAGGACTCATGGTTCCATTTAATGTGTATTTTTTTTGCAAATCTAATCTAAATTCTAAAACTTTTACTTTTCTATATTATTCCAATATTCTGATCTGTTATGAGTATGTTACTCATTCTTCTCTTCTATTGATTCTGCATTTTCTCTCATTTATTCTCTTTTTTTTTTTTTTGGATATTTCATATCAGAGACAATATAAAGAGGAATCGAATAATGTGATCATTCTTTTTTTTTGTTTTTTTTTATTATGCTAGGAAATGTAACACTCGGAAGTGTTTACATGATAATGGAAAAAGAAACTTGAGAACTTTAAGCCAAAAGCAGCATCATTAGTGCAAAGCGTTTCACTGTTTGCTATCCATATAATTGTGACTAATATTAGATCACGCTTGTAAGGATATTAAGAGTTACATAAAAGACGTTAAAAAGAGACGAAAAAAAATATATGAAGAAGGAAAAAAGAAAGGAAAGAAAAAAATGTGAGAGAGTGAAGAAACAGAGCAATAGAGAAAAAAGCAGAAAAAAAAGGATTAAGACATTACATGTGCTCGTTCTTTGTATTAATTCGTTTCAACAAAAAACAACCATCTTAAAAGAAATGACTCGTGTCGATCTAACAATTGTCGTACACGACGCGTACAAAAAAAATGACCGAGGTGATCGTTTTTTCTTTTGTAGAATTCGTCCCAAACGAAGATATCATTATAGAAAAGTGAGGATCCAAGGTCAGTCAAAAGCATCGTCCTCAATCTTCTTTGAATATATTTTTTAACATAGAACTCCAAAGGATATTCAGAAGTAATAGTATAAAGGTTATCTGCAGATACGAGGGGACAGCGATACACCAGTCGAACACCTACACGAAATGTTTGTTGCAATATTTGTTGCGGTATTTCTGGAAGCAGAGGATAAAAAGGAAATAACCATGCAAAATGTGGAAGGGTAAATGTAAAAAAGCATTGGCGAAGCGCTTTAGACGACATACTTTGTCCGGCTTTTAACCACCTTAGTTTACCTAGGGATTTCTGGATATTTTCAATGCATTTTTCGACTGTGGGCCTCAAGGATAGTTTATCAGTCCAAGTGAATCCCAAATACTTAAATTCTTTAACTAATTCAATTTTTTCTCCATTCATTGTTATATTTACTACTGGTCTTTTCACTTGTGAATAAAACACCTACGCTACTGTTTTCGATATATTTATCGGTTGTTTCCATTTTTTTGCATACGCATATACTTGATTACAAATTCGGGTACCTTCTTTCTCAAGATATTGGATCATCGGATTTAATTTCTTCGTAATAGGTGGTGTAATAAGAATACCAAGATCATCTGCAAAAAGATGACCTGAATGAGCCCCTAGGCAGTTTATTAGATCACAGTGGAACACAATAAACAAGTATGGACTGAGACTACTACCTTGAGGAAGTCCTATATGTATATCGAATATTTTCGATGTTTTTTCGCCAAAAGCTACATACGCTCTTCTATCTTTTAACCAGCTAACGATTATTTTCAGTAGGTCTAGCGGCATACCCAAATTCCACAATTTAATTAAGAGGGCGGCATGCCAGACACGATCGTATGTCTTCTGATAGTCGACATAGATAGCAAGTGTTGGTAAATTAGCTGCCATGTTATTTTTCACTTCCTGATAGATTGATAGTACTCGAGTGGGAAGAAGACATTTTGGACGGAATCCTGACTGTTCTATAGGTACACTAAATGATTACTTTCACACCAATGTCTAATTCTTTGACGCAGCGCTTTTTTAAAAAGTTTTGAATGTGTTGCTAACAAGGAAATTGGACGTGTTTGATAACATTTAGGAACTCCTGATTTCAGTTTGTTTAGTGTTATTATCTTTGCTAGTTTTCATTCCTCAGGATATCTTCCTTCACTCAACCATACATTAAAACATTTTGTCAGGCAATCAATATAACCCAGAGAAAGTTTTTTAATCATGAAATTCGATACCAAATCAAAACCTGCCGATTTTTTCGATTTCAACATCTTTATTAATCGATGGATCTCAGCCATACTAATTAGTTCAAATATCAGAAATATGTATACTTACAATCCAATTTAATTTTTTCTATTTCGACCAACAAATAGTCTTGGAATATTTCTGCTTGAGCTTTGCTAGACTAAAAAAAACAGGGTGTGGGTGTAGATACGGGTGTGGGTGTAGGTGTGTAGGTGTTTTTCTTTTCTTAATCTCTACTCACACTCACACCCACCCACACCCACACCCACACACCCACACACCCACCCACACCCACACCCACACACCCACACACCCACACCCACCCACACCCACACCCACACACCCACACACCCACACCCACCCACACCCACACCCACACACCCACACACCCACACCCACCCACACCCTATGTAACATGTGTTCTATATTGAGTGTTGTTTATGGATGGAAGAAAACAGTGTTGTCACGTGTGACCGAAAGAAAAAAGACATCGTTATTGCATGCTATTCACCTATTGGATAGAGACTGCTCAGGTAAAAGTTGACAAACGCATGGATGAAATGTATTACTTTTACTTTTTCTTGATTCTAGACGTCACATGATTTCATTCGATTTGATCATTACTCACATACAACTTTCCATCAACAGAAAAGAAATGTTTTTATTTTAACTATATGCTAACAAAGACGACATTTTTTATTAATAGATTCAAGCAAAAAAAATCATCAAAGTTGGTACAATTTTTATCCGAGAATAATATCAATCGAAAAAGTAAAAAGATTCTTGCTTTGATTAAATAATACATATCGATTATTCTTTTCAAACAATAAAAAACTAAAATGAATGATCAACTACAGAGCGAATCTTTTATCATTCTTCTAACTGTGATTATAACAAACACTTTATCGATGGACACTCATCGCGATAGGAATAACGTTGTGCAAACTGAAAGTTACAGTGAAGTGCTCTATAGTTTAAATATATTTTCTTCTAAACCGTGGCAATGAAAGAAAATTTTCAGAATAGATGAATAAAAAATGATATTTATTCAGGGAAGACAAACAGAATCAATTGTTATTATGTCTCTAGACAAAAGGAGTAATCGCGTCTTTTGAATAATAACACTACTAATAAAATAATGTTTCTTTTTCTTTTTGCAGATCATGAATTTTCAATCTAATGTTAACAATGATCATGAAAGATCCACTGATAAGAGATTTTCAATTGAAAAGATCACTATTGATATTAGTACGAAGTCGGTCAAGAATAAGTCAATAACATCAAATCTAGATTTAGTGACAACCGACAATAAGGAACAATTCAATTTCCCTTTTCCAGCATCTTCTCACTACCGGTTTGTTATTCTTCAATAAAAAAAAAATCATTGAGCAGTACTTTCAAACTTATAGCGACTATTGTCGATGTTCGAATATTTTAAAACGTTATTCTATATAGACTTTCTATGCTAGTTGTATGAATACAATTAATAGGAAGAAATTCTTTCAAATGTAATAGAAATAATAGGCTAAACCTCCAAGTGAATGTCTCAGTATATCTATAAAAAAAATGATTATCCCTTGTTCCTTTGTAGTGAGCAAAGTTTTTCAAGATCTTCATTGGGCTCTGATCGATGTTCATTCTTCGGTGTTGATTGGAGTTCGAAGGCTCATCCAAGATCTCATTGCTGGCTTTCCTATTGTTTGATCGATCGTTCATCTGTTCTTGAATGTGTCTACACTTTATGCAAAATCTCTCGTCCGTTTCGTGCTGATGAATTCATTCAATGTGGTTCATGCAGATTATCGATCCATAGAGAACATAATGATGAATTGCACAAAATGAACGATACTCATAATTATCTTCCATTTTGTCGTTCATCGTTTTCTAATAGTATCATATCAGAGGATCATGGTGAATACGATCATCATTACTGGTCTCCTATTTCATCACTTACGAAATCATGTGTGATATGTAGACGAAAAAGTTTATCACGAACATTAATTATTCGAAGAGAATCACACACCTCAAATGATAATACACCAATGCAAAATATAAATTTAAAAGTTGTTAAATCTTATCATAGCCTGATATGTCTATGGTGTTCAGAAGAGTGTCATCGACGATGTTGGAAAAATGTCAACGCCAATGATGATGATGATAATAAATGTTATTATGGAAAGTATAAGTGAGTTCATCTATGAGATATTATTAAATGTTTCCATTGTATTTATTCTTAAAGGAATATTATTGTTCGTCCACAGTGGTTACATCGCGTTGAAAACTCTTCAGTAGGTTTCCAAGCACGATTTCCAGATAACATTGATGCGAGTAATTCATCGTTGACACCTCTAATTGTCTTTATAAACAAACTTTCGGGTGGTCAAAAAGGCGAGATTATCTATAATAAACTTATACGTTTATTAAATCCACGTCAAGTTTTTCTCCTCGAAAACGATGCAACTATAATGCAAGCTTTGGATATATATTCATCTCTTCATAATACTCGTATTTTGGTTTGTGGTGGTGATGGAACAGTTGGATGGATATTGAGCACTTTAGCAAGAAGATTTTCATCACTTGATAATCCTCCAGTAGGTATCTGTCCTATAGGTACAGGTAACGATTTATCACGTGTGTTGAACTGGAGTTGGACTTACAGTACGAAACGATTATTAACCACGCTTTTACAAATTTCTAATGCTAAACCTATTGCACTCGATCGTTGGCAAGTTGATTTTGAATCATTAACGAGCATTAATCCTATTGAAGAGACTGGAATTATTCGTCGATGTTTACCACATTTTCTCGATCATCCAAGGTTTGTTCGTGAAACCAATCTACTATCTTATCAAAATTATCAAAAACCTCTCAATGTTCGATTTACTAATTATATTTGTTTTGGATTAGATCCAGCTGTAGTATTGGATTTTCATGATAAACGAATGCGTGATCCATCGAAATTTACATCACCAATGAAAAATAAACTTATTTATCTCAATATTGGTAGACAATATTTTAGAGAATTTGCTTTATGGAGAGCATGGAATTTAAGATCATATATGAGAATTGTTTGTGATGGTCAAGATAGAACAAATTCATTACGTCATTGTCATAGTCTTATTCTATTAAATATTCCAAGTTATGGATCAGGTACTCATCCTTGGAGTAGAACGTATCAAAAGAATATATCGATACAAAACAAAACCAAGAAATTCAATCAGATCAATTCGAATACATTTCAAGATATAGATCCACCTGATTATAGCTATGACAGATGTAAATTTGCAAGAGAAAATATATCCAATACTATTGAATCATCTGCAGCATCTCTTACTAATGATCAGATCGGAAGACAAAGTATTGATGATCACATACTTGAAGTTGTTGGATTAGACTCAATACAGATGGCATTAATTCATATTGGTTTTCTAGGTCATCGTATTGCTCAATGCAGTCAAGTACGAATTGAACTCCTTCATTCAATGCCTGTACATATGGACGGAGATCCATTCTATCTTCCTCAAAACACCGCAATCAATGTTACTCATGCAGGACAAGTTTTAGTTTTGTCAAATAACAATAAATAGACAAAACGTATATCATTTTAGCACCGTGAGACTTGTTTGGATTTATTTAAGAACATCTTATAACTGTAAAACAAAAGCAGCTATCAACCTGCGATTATTTTCTATCTGGATAAAGTGTCAAAAAAACATCAATTCATAATCATTTTTTCTCAATAGATAGTTTTTTGTGCGAATTTAGAAAATGATTTAAAAGAGATTTTTATTTGAAATTTTATTCTTCAAGAGAGAAAGGTCTTTCGATCCATATAAACTATCGATTATCTAAAACGTCTCACAAATTTATCATTGTGTAGAGATCATTATGCTTGGCAAGAAACATGAGAAATTCAAACACTCAAATTTGATTCCCATCCTTGGAACTGAAATATATAATATATAGGACATATGTTATATGAAACTCGAGAATTATCCTATGCTCATTTTTATCAACTTGTTGTAGTTTCATTTGATGCTCATTCAATTTAGATATTATATATTTTTATATACAAAATAAAATCTTCGGTATTATTAGTCTTTTGATCTTGTTATCAGTTATAGTTTTCATTTTAACGATCTATTCGATAAACATCGTTTTTATATTTAGTTTACTGATTATTCGATGCAGACTGACTGGCCATTGACATTCTACATGATAACACAAAAGGTGTTTCCTTACTTTTTCAAATCATTGGTTAATCTCAATAAATATGATATATCGATTATTTGATCATGCAGGTGGGTAAGTGTGAAGAGGAGACAATTGCCCTCACTCACTCTCTGATTAAACAACTTAACAAGAATTTAATCATGAAATCTAAAAAAAACATTCAAGAGAAGCACAATTCTTGTTTTATTATTTGTTTAAATCAAATATATAATAGGCATTTAATCATATAAATATCGATTGTTTTATTTTAATAAAAATCAATATTACGGACCATTCATTGACAATCGTTGCTGTATATTCAACTACCATAAGCTTCGATTGTATAATACGTCCATAGTCATAGCTACAATGGTATATCGCAAGACTTTTCTCAAAATGCTTATCTATCATACATGTTTCCCATATACTGAGACTTTCTCAACGTGTTCTATCTGATACATCCACAGGTACAAAAGAATTTTTCTTCTTATTTCTTTTATAGAACATTGAGAAAGTAAAACATCATCCATGAAGTTCAAAAGAAAACGATCATGGAATAAGAGAGACAATGTTTTAAAAAACATGTAACAGACAGACACATTCATACATAGAATGACAGGCATTTAAATACAATATACGATTAAAAAAAAACATTACCACTTCTATTCTGTTTGGATTCACTGGCTTGAGGTCATCAATGATAATGATGCATTGATGAATGAAATCATTAGAATCTGCTTCTATATTTATACAGAAAATGTTTCATACCAAGGACATTTGTTACACGAAAACAACGAGATAGACATGATTAGAAAAGAGTGTTTCTTTACTATCGATATGACGTTATGTGAATGGAAGAAAAAGAAGAATCAGCATGAGCTGAATGGAAAATTACCCATGTTTCGTCCGGGAATGAAAGAATGTGTCATAAGAATGAAAAAATCTCACTATCTTCTAATAAGCTGCAACACATGATCTTTTCTCTTAACCTTTGCCTTTTGTTGTTGTTCTCGCTGTATTATTATATCATATCATTATGGAGAAAATCTCATCACTAACGCTCATATTATTTATTGGGACGATAAAATAAGATAACAATACAATTTTTTCTATATAAATACTGGATCACAGCACTCATCGATTAATATACAGTTGTATTCGACTACTTGAATTTTGATCGTCTTCTTCAAGCAAAACATACACAACTTCATACAAAGTAGGTAGAGTCGAGAGTGAATTGTTGTCTTTCTTGCAACATCGTCATTATCATCCGAATACTTTGGGAAGTTATTCCACTCTAAAACGCTATTGCTATCACTGCAATATAGCGAAGAAATATGGTAGTCAATATTAGTACTCGACATGACCATGTTTTCGGTTACAACTGCGTGAATTAGATCATGGTCAGAGTCATGATCATCCTTTTTAGTTTGTTGCGGGTCCCGATCTTTCTCCTTGGATGGCATTTATTATGACGAAAGTTAGATAAAAACAAGAACAAATAAAAAGGATGAATTCATTAACTAAGTAGAAAATCATGTTCGACATTAATTCGATATTAATCAATGAAATAGTTAACAAAAAAGTTCCCGTTTAACTGTCTTTGTAACAAAATATACATTTTTATTATTTTTTATGTCGCAGATAGTATCTTGTGCGAACAACTTTTTTCTCACCTCGTTTCATAATGAGTTCTGAATTTTTATTTCGATTTCATGTATTCTGTTAAAGTAAAGCTATTATTATTAGATACCAGCATCTGCTAGTGTCACATTTCGGACAATGTGAGGTAGGATTAAGCTAAAAATAAAATCGTCATCGAGATGGGACAGTACATTTTAGTAAAATAAATCAGCTATTATTTATATGTCGAAATTTATCAGCATTAAATAAAAAAAGCCATTTTCTTTATTAATTGAAGAATAAAAAAGAAAAAAATACAGCACCGATGAAAAAACGAAAACAGGGTGTGAGTGGATGTCGTGTGGATGGGTATGGGTATGGGTGTGGGTGTTGACGTGGATTCATTTCTTCTTTTAACACTCAAACTTACACTCACACCCTCTTTCGAATATTAAGGAGTTAAACAATATATTTATTTGTTTCGAAATCTTGTAGTTTTTAGATTCTAAAGATACTTGATGATGGCTCAATTGAGCAAGAGTCGAAACACGTCGTATATTGCTTTGAATCTAATATTCATTGTTGAGTTTTCAACCCACACCTACCCATACCTCACACCCACACCCTCCTTAGCATGGCCAATTCTTGAGATATGTATATCCACAAAATATCATAAAGTGACTGCCTTCTCTAGCCCTGGTGATGTTGGTCAGCTCATCAAAAGTTCATCCATTTTTGCTCAATTATTTTTTGCAAATCAAACGAATGCATTCTCGATGAGATGCAAATTTCACAAAAAAAAAATCACAAAATAAACATGCTCTTTGTTTCATGTCTTTAACATTAGGAAATGATAACATTTTCCAATACAATTTCTAATGAAAAGTCTTCACATTCGAGTGAGTACCATTACTTTTGCCACATTACCAAAAGACTACTGAAGATCGTTTTTACTGTCTATTGATTAGCTTTTCCTAAATGAAAACTGCTGTGAGCTAAAGATTCCTTATGATTATGTGTTTTTATCTATATAACCAGTAGTTACGGTAGGAGAGTATTGAGAAATATGAATTAGTTCGAACTACATAGAACTAGTTAGAAAAGAACCTATTTGTATTGAAAAGAAAGACAAACAATGAAAGTATAATAAGCTCTATTATTTATTCTTCGTACAAAGTACTTTGAACTCATATTTGAATAGAAAATAACTTGTGTTTTTTCATGAGAAAAGAAAGTAGAGAATTCCATCCGAAGTTCAGATTTTGTATGATTTTATTATTCAGAATTTCATTACCCTTTTTGGATTTTGCTACAATACATGTTTGTATATATTAACTGAAAGAATATCCATGACAGAGCTACTATCTCATTGTGTAGCATCATATTTATTTAACATCGATACAAAACGTTAATTATTACCTTTTGCTTTCCACTTCGATAAAATAATGTAATTCGATCCTCAATCACATTTGATAGATAAGAGTAAAATAAATAGGAAAACAAAATACACTATCTGTTGTTTTAAAACTGATTGCACTCGCTTTTGTTCGTGAACAGAAACCAGATCAAAATATGCAATATAACAACTTTGATACATCGCTGTCCGATGCAATAATGTTAATCGATCAAGATAACAATCAATTATCATCGCCATCATCACTACAGCAGAACACAGTTCTGCAAAAGAAGCTTATTCGACTGTATCGTATTGCTTTAGCAATATTATTAGTTTTATTGTTGATATGTCTGATTATTCTATTCGTCACATTTTTACACAAGAATCAATATCATCACATTATTAATCCACCAGTATCGTTACAATTATCTGCATGTAACGATATGAATGGCACTTCTATTAATAACAGTGAGTGACACAATCACATTACTAATGTAAGAGCTAGCTAAAGACGCCTGAACACAATGATTTTAAAGGAAGGTCTTTACTGTGAATATATTTTCTTCACAGATAAAGATTCATTTTGGGATAATTTTGCTTTACCAATACCGATGAATCTCTTTCATGAAGGATTTTCTCTAAAAGTCTATCTCTGAAATTAGCATGCATTTCCAGTTAAATGATCTGTCACATAAGATTCTCAATGTGTGCTGTGTGTGTGTGTGTGTTCATTTATTCGAGAGAATGAATGGACATATTGGTATCAGATCTATCGAAAAAAATTAAAATTCATCAAAAATCTTGCGTGATATTCGACTCTATATTAAACGGTTGTAAGAGAGACAAGCACGGATAGTATTTGACGGTGTATCCAGATCCTATCTATAACTTCAAAGTACTAGTTCTTGAAATTATCTGAGGTAAAGAATGCATTTTCAGCCAATGAAAGAAACTATCAATGGAGAAAAAAAAAGTCAAAAAGTTAAATGATTCTAAGTTACTATTTTAAAACTATACTGGAAACAGTTCATTTTATCTCAGCGATGGTGCTCACATTTTTCTAAATGCTGCCAGAGAATAATATCAAAATTGAAATATTTCTGTATCTAAAACATGATTTCCTTTACGTTAGATAACAAGGTCAATTGGCTTCATCTTAACAAACAACAGCTGATTGCAGCTCTATCGCAATTCGTATGTATGGTCGATCCGAACTGTCAAAGTAGTAACAATGGCACAATATTTTCGGCTCAAGAAAACAGTAAAGCCTTCTAACTCTATCCAATAATGTGACTTTTCAAAAAAAAAAACCTAGATTCAACGGTCAAGAACTACATAAAAGAACAAACGAAAGAG